TTCGACTTATAGAAGTTGTTACTTTTTTAGTTTTGTTATTTTTTTCTGTTACAGTATTTTAAGGTAATAAAATCTTTGCTGTTTTTTAGCACCACTTATACTTGACGAACGATCGACAGTTTTATGCCAATCGCGATAAACAGTAAGACTTTACTATCTCTTGTTTTGTTAAAATTATTGAATCTTTTGTAAAACCAAAAAATGTAATTTTATAAGCTTTCAAAACAACGGAGTCTATTTATGTTTAAAATGTTGAATGTATTTTCAATTTTGTTTTTTTTTTTAGCATTTCTGAATTTTTGCGTCTTCTAAAACTTTTTTTTCTTTTTAAAGTCTTTTTTATATTCTCAATTTAGTAAAAGTTGTTCCTGATTCAGGCAACACGAAACGTTTTTATGTTTACATACGGAATTGGAGGAGGAGAAGAAAGGTGAGGATATAATAGCAAAAAGTTTTTTATGTCAACAAATGCCAACAGGACGTTGGGTTAAGCTTGATCTAGCCACCTCTTCGTCATCAGTTTTTAATAACATGGTATTGGCTTTATCTCTTACAAAAGTGCTATCTAAAACTTAGCGTTCAGAAGTAGCTTAACAGTAAATGAGATTCTAAAACAACATATGCTTGATGTTTGTTAAAATTTTAGCTGATTATCTGTTGGTCTAGTTGTAGCACTTTTTTATTTCGTAGATTACATGAGTAATTTGTTGAACAAGAATAAATTTAAAGCAGTCTGACTAAATTCTAGGTAATACTCTCCAAACTCCAAAATAGACAGTCTACCAATTTAATAGAAGCTTTAGATTTTACAAAACACTATCGTCCTCATTGTTTTGAAGGTTAGTTATTCAAATTCTTCATACTAAACCTATGTTACTGTAACACTTCTCTGTTTTGGCTCTTCCTATGATTCTACTTTGCAAAAAATTGCATAATGATGTCTTCTCTTCTTCGCTTGTGGCTTCTGCTGTCTGAAAGTTCGTAGTTCTTAATTAAAAAAAGGTGAATAAAAAAATTTATCAACCTGTAACTGTAGCATAGATATGGGTATCAACTGTGTCGCATTTATTCGGTTTTGTTGCCTGTAACTGGAAGACTAAGCAACAATAAATGAATCATTTGCGCTACACACTTCTGCACTAATCCTTTTTTTTAATCATCAGATGCTTTTTCTTATTTATTATAACTATTGTGACTATTATTTTTATCATTTTTACTATTATTTTTGACTTTATTATTATTAGTATTGTTATTAATGCTATTATTTAAATTTAAGTTCAAATTTTAACTTTGTTTTTATTTTTATTTTTGTTTTCTTTTTACTGTTACTGCCATAATTTTCTTTATTTTAATTTTTTTTCATTCTTATTAGTTTTTTGCTATTTATTATTATTATATTGAAATCTTAAATTTCTTACCTTATTATTATTTTTTAGAATTTTCAACAGGTTGTGTGGGATGGCTTGTTGTGCCGAATTTGGTAACTATCAATGATATAATCAGTTTTCGCAAAAAGTTAGTTCTCTGTCGGTGTAGTCGTTCTTTGTACTGTTAAGCAAATGGGCCATTGGCTCATTCATCCTAGAAAACTTTAGGTTTTTAGCATTGTAATAAGATTCCACTTTTTTCCTGCGCTATTTTGCGGTTTCATTTGTTTAGCAGACGGTTCTTCAAAACATTTTACTGTTTTAGGAAGAATTTGAAACCTGTATTGACCTGGGAAGATATTGGAGGTATTATATGGCAAATGATCAATGGTTTAGAATTTATTCATCGTAATAACATTGTACATATGCAGATTTGTGGAAAAAATGTTTTTTGCGACAGTGATTTAAACATTAAAATAGGCAATTTTCACTGCGCACGATCACCATCAGCATTAAAAAAACTAATTAGGAGGTTTTATTTTTATTTTTTTCTGAAGCAACACAGAAGTTGTTGTTGTTAAATTCTCTTGTTCTCTTACAAAAATGCAGGAAAATATCATGATCTTTGAGTTACCTTAAGTATTTGTTACTGTGTTGATGAACCAAAATTTATATGTTATTTTCTTAAATTAAGGAATATTTAGCCAAAAATTTATCAAGCGGATAAACTGTTTTTTGTATTGGTTTTTAGACCTGGTGGTATTGAGAAACTGAAAGGTATTGCTTATCTGTATCCTCCTGAGCTCTATTCACGTTATCCTCAACAAACTTTATCTGGTGCTGTTGACATATGGTAAGCGGTTTTATCGTCGATATCACTCAAGTTTTCTGTTTAAATGATTACCTATTTATAGAATAATTTCGCAGTTAATTATTATTACATTAATAATATATTAATTAATGCACTACACTTACTGTGGTCATGCTTTGTAGAAATGATGTGTTGCACATTTTTTATGCAGTTCTGATATTTTCAATTACTACTGAAACAATTACTGCTGCTAATTTAAATGCTGAGACTATCTTTTTGCTGCTGTAATAAAGTAATATTAATTTTACACTATGCGCTGAAGTTGTAATAGGCAGTTTTGGGATTAAAATTGTAGCAAAGCATTTAGACTTTGCAGCATCTAAGAAAGTATTATTATAAAAGAAATGTTTAGGGGGTTAGGCATGTTTGCTATGGAAATGTTTCTGGGAGTACACCCGTTAGAATCTCTTTGTGTACATTCCGATTCGTTACGTATCGTATGTTTTGCATTGCGTTTCTGTGCAGTTAAGACAAACATTTGTGTCTGTTTAAAGTTGAAAAAGAAAAAAAAACTAAATATTCATTTTCATTATTGTTGATATAGAATTTTTCAGGTAAAAGTTTGGAATCAAAATAGTGAAGGTGCTGACTATCAGACAATCTTCGCCTCACTTGACCAGTGTTCTTTGCCTGAAGTTAGAGCTTTGCCGCAAAATTGTTTTTTTTCTTATTTTTATTTTTCTATAATTTATGCAATGAATTAATTAGGTGCTTCAAAAAGTTGCTAAATTTTATTTTGTTGCGGTTTCCACTTGACAATCGACAGAACCTTTTATGAATATAGTAAGTGTAGAAAACAGTAAAACGATACTGTGTCATTACCTGCCATTGTTGACAGTAAAAAAATTATTTAGGATGAAGCAGCAAAAGCATTTCTCGGTATGACAGTACACACAGACCCCAAAAAAAGGGGAAATTTAGAAACTTTACGTTATTCCTATTTGTGTGATGTTAAAAGCAAACTTTCGGCATTCCATAAAACAGTGAAGGAAGCAGGTAAATTGATAAACTAATGTATGTTACGTGATTAATAATTGTATATAAGTTATTATTTTTTGCTGCAGAAATCAAAGAACCTCATCGTTTGCTTGAAATGTTCAGGAAATTTGATGATGTTCTTGACGAAAACCTTACTGGTAAAATCTTGGAGGTAAGACTTCTTTGTGGCATATCTTATTAAAAAAATTTATTGAATTGGCATTAAACTTCCTGTCTATGTTTCACCCACTCTTTTACCTGATTACAGTATTTATTGGATAAAGTTCAAAATTGTCTAGTTTCATCTGCCACTTCAGTTCCTGTTTGTCTTTTTACTCCAGAACCGGAGCATATTGCTGAGTGGATTGGTGTAGCCGTTAGTAACATATTTAAATTCTGCTGCTTAATGCAGAACTCTGAGGTAAATAGAGTTTGGTTACAGTAAAAGAGAATTTTGCATGTTTTTCTTCGTTTGAAAACTCTAGGAGAACAGTAATACGAACTGTTTTAGTTGACTCGTGAGCAAGAAAATGTGCAAATTTTGCTGAAAAGAGGGATAGAATTGTGTGTTTACGGTTTGATATTGATAGCGACTATTGCCATAGAAGGTGTAGCCGCTTTTGCAACCAGGTTTTTTATTCTACTGGCTATCGTGTAGAATTTTTCTATTTGTCGAGAGATTCGGTAACAGTTTGCTTATTTTTTATTGTTTTTGAACCTTATTTTTACGTCTACATATTTTAGTTTCACGATTTTCACCGCAATTTTTTTGATATATATGCTACTACAAATAGCGTATCGAATGTTGCCAAAGAACTATAAACATCTAGCAAAAAAATCATTAAGCAATTTTACTTGCTTCAAAAAAATCAACATATTTTTAAAAATGAAAAAGAAAAGTATCTTGGACCAATTACGATGGTTTCAACTTTTGGTAATTGCCTTTGTTCGCGTACGTTTCAATGAAGTAGCAGCATCTAGTTACTTTCAGGTTAGCTCTCCTAATTTGCACTGGTAAATTTAGGAACTTTAAGTGCGGTGCACTATATATAAAGA